AGGACATACCTTGCCAGCATGGCAGACCCGTTACCGAACCACGCATCCAAGGCGTTCGTCTGGATGAAGAACATGAGACTCCCGAACCCGAACTCGTTCCCGAACCCGAACTGGTTCCCGAACCCGAACGGGTACAAATGACGCTATGATTCCATGTAAATCTGTCTCGGACTCTTATCTATGATAGAGATGGACTCGTTGTGTCATATTAAGAAAAAAATAAAAAATAAAGGCGGGGTCAGAGGGGCAGGGGGTGGGAAAGTCAGCTGAAGCAAAAATGCTGCCAAGGAGTGGTGCAGTCCTCATCTATCTCTGTCATGACGATACGTGAGCTCACGTTCGACAGCAGTGAAAGCCGGATATGGGCAACATCGACCGTGTTTACCATGCTCCAGGAATGTCACCAAGTTCCCCCCCCCACCACGCCCACCTACCACAGCCGTCCAAGAAACTGGACATCATATCGCCACCGATCGATGCTTGTCCCGAACCGCTCAAAGGAATCGCCTGGCGGGGTGGGGGCGGGTACAAGACGCTAGTTATGACTCTCACGTGCTGCGTGCTGTCGTGACCGGCGAAACAGACCATCGAGAGGTCCCAGTCGGGCAACATGCGTTGCGTCTGCAACACTATGATGAGCTGCTGGAGGGCAGCCCGGCCAGCCTCGGCCAGCAGCGCTCGTTCAAGCATCTGGACGAGGTCCGGCGTCTTCATCAACGACAAGCTCGCCACAGCACACGCCCCAGGCTCGTCGCACAAGGGCATGGGACTCGTCTGGTCTGTTTCCTGTAGTACGTGATGGCATCGGGGGAACATAGCGAATGGGGGTGTCAGAGCAATAAACACAGGCCATTCGTGTCAACCATATTTCATCATTCGTTCAATAGCAGCAGCAGTTGCATGAGCAGCATGGCCAGCATCAGTAGCATAAGCTGGAAAAGTTCGCAAAGTAAACACCACAGCAAATCGGTTGGTGTGCGACACATGAGCTGTTGGCAGTACACACATTTCACAACAAAAATAATATAAAAAAACACGCTTGCTCACCGCCACGCCCAAGAACGGGGGCCATACGCACGAGGCGCCCCCGTCATCGAAGGGTGCGGCACCGACGCCTGCAGGTTCCAGGTCCTGCTGTTGCAGACAGACATAGCAGGGTAGGTAGGTGCGTGCACCGTGATGGGGGCAGAGAAGTAGATCATGTGAGCCAGAACTGTTTCGTCGATGTCACTCATAGCTGAACACTTGGCAGCAGCACCATCAGCATGGGCACCAGCAGCGTCGGGAAATGTCTGCAACGCGCCACATTTGAATCGAGTCATACCAATCAAGGTGCCTGGCACATCATGTGTGTTGTTTTCGTCCTATTTATTATGGCGACAGTCCCCCATTTTCCGTAGTGAGACGTGTACTACACTTTTCAGTGTATGTACCGTTCTACACTTTTCAATATATATTTTCGTACTACTACAACCATCCAGGGCCACACAGGAGGGGGTAAACACAAGGGCTTTTCTCTTCAATTTATTTGTTGTATTTTCGTGCCCCACCTTCCTCCGGCCGTGCGTGTTCAATGTTATTTAAATCGCGACAAGGGTCCAGCCGTCCCTTTCCCTCGTGAACGGTGCTAACAAACGGTGAAGTTTGGTACTCACCTAAACATGTCGCTTCCACCTACAAATTTTGGATATGTTTTCGCCCCACGGGGTTTCGAATTCAAGACCATTACAACTAGCGGTTTTCGAGGATACCACTAGACCACCGGGGAGACTATATACAAGAGGAGAAAACAATCGGACCAAACAAGTTTCACAACATCGAAAAAAACATTTCCCACGCTTACCGGAAAGTGGAAGAACGAAGGCCAAGGGCACGATGGAACATGATCCACGCGGAATGCGGCCACGTCGAGCGGTGCCACAGACGACAAGGTCGCAACCGCGCACGATCCAGGCTCCTCACAAAGGGACATGCCGCTTGTCACGGCGACGGTCTCGTCCACAACCTGTAGCACGTCACGGGAAGCGCGTTTGTGGGCGGGGGGTAGCGAAGGGGGTTCAAGACGGACAAGACTGTTTCGCCAGTGTCACGCATAGCTGATGATTCATCAGACGCGTGGCAGCAGCGGCAGCAGCAGCAGCAGCAGCAGCAGCAGCAGCAGCAGCGGGAAACGTTTGCAAAGCACCACATTGAATCGATTCATCATGTGTGGCAAACGTGCAAGAGAAAAAGGGCATATTGTCCAAACGGAACACTGCTGCCGTTGGCAAAAAAACATTTCAAAACAAAAATTAAAAACATCCCCCACGCTTACCGACATGGCCAAGAATGGAGGCAACATGCACGATGGAAGATCGTCGACGTGGAAGGTGGTTACGTCCGTGGTGGGCGCCGCTGAAACCAGCAGGGTCGGGTGGGATGTGGTGCCGTGTTCGGTACTTCGAAGCGTCGGCACCACTCGCCACCCGACCCTGCCCGCCTCCGCGATGCCCACAACGGAAGTAACCGCATTCCACATCGACGATCTTTCATCGTGCCCTTGGCCTCCGTTCTCGTGCTTCGGGGGTGTTTTCTTTCGTTGTGGTGAAATGTTGATGTTGCAAACAGCAGCAGTGTTCCGTTTGGGAAAAAATGTTTCTGCTCTCGTACCCGTCGCTTAAGAAACTACTCCACAGCGGTGCTCTCGTTGCTGAACTGTTCCCTCGTCGGTCTTACCGAAAATCTGTCCGCAATGCTTCGCCGATTTGACCACGAGCTCCACTTCCATGACTGCTTCTCTCATTCTCCCTCACCACGAGCACGCACCTACCTATCTCTATCTGTCGTCTGCAACAGCTGGGCCCCAAGCGGTCAAATCGGCCAAGCGTTGCGGACACTTGTTCGAGTAAGGCGGACAACAGCAGTTCAGCAAAACGAGACCGCTGCTGTGTCGTTCGATACACTGTAGGGGTGCGATATGCAACCGATCGTAACGTGCATGCCACCAATCAGCGACGGTGTATGCTATTACTAGCCCACAAGGGACAATCAACACCAGAACCACGGCCATGCACACACGCATCAGCTCTGCCTCATCAGTCTGCTACACTAGGCGACCGCACTTCGGGAAAGAATAGAGCAACAAAATTGATCCCCGCACGAGACGCGCGACACTCAGGAAATTCCAGGAAATTCCACGTGCAAACGCTCCAACCACACAAGACGCTGCCAGCACAATACCACCATTATGAGATATTGATCGTACCGGCCAATCGCCGAAGACCACCGGAGACCAGTGCGCGGCTTCCGGCACGATTGGTTCAGGAGGCGCTTCCGCCGCCATCACCGCTTGGAAGCGGACGACCCGCTGCCCGGAGCTGGGGGAGCGGGAGGGGAAAAGTGTGCACAAGGAGGCGCAAGAACAACGACTGGATGTGGCAGTCCAACGGACCGCTGGTGCTTGAATACAACGCACGGCCATGGGGTCGAGCCCTTGGGCTTGGAATCACAGCAGCGTTGGTGTATTGTGGGCGTACTCAAAACGTTTTTTCGGCATGCCGGGACTCTGCCGAAAACTAAACGCAGGGGAAAACTCAGGATGACAAGAGGAGACACACTTGTTATCCATGCCGCCCCCCCCCACGCAGAGGCGTTCAAACACATGCACATGTCCTTCTCCTCGCTCCGTATCCATTTTCGAACCCGCCATTCCTCCCCTTTGCCAATCGATAATGACGTACGTGTGTTAAGGAGGTAGACCACTCAGCCACCCGGTAAAAAGGTTAACCAGTTACCTGGCTGAGACAGGACCTTATGACACTCTCTAGCACTGAATGAAACCTAGCGGGAAGTAATCCCCAGGACCACCAACGTACCAACGTACACCAACGTTGGGTCGCCGACTTTCTTCAGATGGTAAGGAGGATGCTTCTTCCGCTTGGATTTTTACATGCAAGTGTGTTTTCTCCTTTAACGCACAAGTTCTTTTTTCTTTTTTTCTTCTCGAATCAGAAAATGAAGAAAGTACACAAGTCGGGATTCGAACTCCCGACACGTCGTAGACGACGCCATGTGTCACAGAGATAGACCACTCAGCCACCCGGTAAAAAGTCCCATTTACCTGGCAGACACAGAACCTTATAACACGTGTGTGTGCATATTTGTAGTACCTCCAAAACCAGCTCTTTTTCAGGCTGGGTTGTCCTCCAAAACACCTCGGAGGCGGGCTCTGCGGTGCTCTCCTCGAAGATCACCCGGGCATCGATCTCGTTCACGATGTCCCGCAGCGCGGCGGGGATGCCCTTGACTATCGTCTTGGCTCACCGCAGCACCCCCTGGCCCTTGAAGGCGTCCGCGAAAGGCAGCAGCGTGATAGCCACCAGTAGAAGCAGCATTGGCCACGCCGGAAACCACTTCATTGTTCTCTCGCCTGTGTAGGGCATCAAAGCGGTCGGAGGCGCGGCTTTAAAGGCTGGCCAATGAACGTCTCTTCGTTGCCCACATGTCCCCAACGGAGTTGCCCCACAATCGGTAGCTATGCTGCTTGTCGGAGGCTCTTGGCTAGAGGGAGATCAAGGAGTCCCGCGGAGCAAATCCCGTCTTGGTCTTGAACAATCTGACTCACACGACCAAAGGAGGGACAATCGATTCGGGCAATAAAGCTGTCCCTTGGAAGTCAAGAGCTTTCATGGCTCACGCGGTGAACTATCTATCTGTCTCTCGTTCGAGTGTGACCAGCCTGAGCATCAGCTGCATGGAGGAAGGGATCTCTATCTGTGTGTACTGCTGGTACTCACAACGAGAGAGGATCCGAGGGTCGACTTGGCTCCAGGTCAAACAGCAAGCACGTTTTGAGGGATGCCCATGCTCTTTCCGCCAGCGGCCTTGTGTGCGAGCGGAGCGCATCCACGGTGTGGCCCGTAGCCGTACATTCAGGGATGTGCTGTGCACAACGGCAAACTCCAAACGCCCGGGCGCGCTCCTCTCCATCGAGTCTTATCTGCTGGGTCTGTACACTCCCCTCTTTTTCCTCCCCTCGCAATAGCACACTTCCTCTGTCCACCCAAGCAAACACACACACCCCCCCGTACCTGCTTCTTGCCCCTCTGTGCTCCGCTTTTTCTCCTCTCTCGTGCACGATCCTGCTTCTTGTCCTCTCACTCAACAGCAGGATCGATCGGCGGCCGTTCTCTCTCTCTCTCTCTCTCTCTCTCTCTCTCTCTCTCTCTCTCTGTTCAAAAAGTGACGAGCCAAAGAAAGGCGGGAACGACACGGGCTCAGCCCTCTCAAGGATCCGTCCCGGCTTTCTCTTAACGCTTCCAAGGGGTTTCGAATCCGTTACGCATCGACAGCCGGTAGCGTCAACAGGCACTAGGCCGGTGGCCATCTTCAACGAATATCCACAAGGCCATCATCTCCGATTAGCGCCGACAGAAAGGGTCTGAACTGATTTGCTGGCGACATCATGTTCATTCCGTTCTCGTCCCTCTCTTCAGCCATGCTTCTCGTTGACGTCCCGTGAGCTTGGGCCATCACTGCCATCACTACGGAAGCTACGACGTGGTGGTCGGTCGACCAATTGCTAACAGGTCATAGGGGCCCGATGGAAGCTATCGATCTCCGTTGCAACCCCCCTCTGTGGATGGCCCCTAATCTTCGGAGATGTTCGCAGGGGCCGCCAGAAAATCTGCCGTCTGTGCTCTGCTGCTCTGATGCGTTGCTGGCATCGACGCAACGCCCCCTCTCTATCTTCGCTTGATGACTACTGCTGGAGCCGCTGCGCGGATGGAGCCACTAGCCAGCTCCAGGCACTGATGTGAGGAAAAGAGGCACCTATCCTGTTGGGTGGTGGTCATAAATGGGTGAAAAACAAAATCTTGTCAACTGCTGTGCTCGATTATTCCTCCTCTGCTGTTATGTTGAACGTCAGTCTACCGTGTTCTCTACCCTACTCATGCGTAGCTGCACACCCCGGGAAGCCGTGCACCTGTCTTGGGAGCGCATGAAATCAATTACTGTATGTGTTGTACTCAAGGTTTCCCGGCGTAACACGCAGTTCGGATGGTTCATGGCACCATGTGAATGGCCCAGAAGGTGTCAAATCGTTGCCACGGTCTGCTGCCGGCGTGATCCGGTGCGGTCAAAATATCTCACCGCCTTTGTTTCCTGCTTGCTGGCTTGCGGGTGACACTGCGTCGCATGTTCATCTGCACCCTGCCTTGTAAAAGACACTCTGCGTAAGCTTGCGCAAGCTTGCGCGAACTTGTCAACAGGCAACAGCAGCGGTGTCGCGTTGGCTGCACGGAGTAGTTAACTTTCAATGCCGTGGACTTCGGGTGAGAAATCCTGCAGCGCTTACAACAAATGACAACGCGTGTGCACCCTCCTGTAATACGTTTGCTCGGAGAATGCATGGCACTGGAGTGGGTCGGGCCATGATGCATTGTTGGACAGCATGTCTCCCCCTTACACAAATCCCCTGCACCACGCCTGTGCTTCGTTTATTGATCCTATTTGTCACGCGTCTGGTATTGTACACATGCACAATAAAACATGCATGCTTTTGGGCGAGGGAATCTACCGTAGTCGTACAATCCCCGGCCAGATAAACATGCAGGGAGGGAAATGTCCCCGGGCGAAGGAAGAAGTACGGCGTGCTTTTGTCGCATTCGGATTGTGATATCTCTATAGACTACAGCGTAACGCACAACCATTCACGATAGAATGATAGGCTATGTCATTCGCTGTTGGGTCTAAACGCCGTTGTCTGTCTGCCTGTCTGTCTGCCTGCCCGCCTTACCCCGGCACAGTAATGATCGCAGTGTAGCGAGGGAGGACAGGAAGAGGCACAGTACTGGCGATGCTTGGCAGTGGCAGCGGCTGGACTGGGAGGGAGAACAAGGGTACGAAGTAACGTGGGTTCCTCAGCAACAGGAATTTCCGTCAGCATACGACCATTGTCGAGTGCTTTGGAAACATGTTACTTCCATGCCATCGGTGCACGGAAGCAGGTCGACGGCTTGATGAGCGTAAGAGCCTCCGGGCAGGGCAACGGGGGAGGAGCCACGAATGCCAACATGGCCATGAGCCTTCCGGGAGAGGTGAGACTCAGTTAATTGGATGTTTCTACTACGCCGCAAGATTTCACACGAGAATATTTCCACAATTCCGTAGGGGGACGATAACCCGCATGAATGGGCACGGTCAGAAGCACTTTATCGCGTCGTCGTCTTGGTGATACTTCATGCAGTACAGTACTGTTCGAATCAAATACAGAAAATGCGTTTTTTATCGGCGAAACACGTTAATCTCTCCGAATGTAGACTAGTCAGGGACTCTTGAATGCTCGCTCTGTTTCGTCCATTTATGTCGTTTAAAGGAAAAGGAGTGGAGACGAAAAGAGAGGTATGGTGAAGCTTTAGGAATGTGCAGCTAGGCGTAAGGTTGTGTCGGCTGCCCTCGACAGGCTTCTGGTGCATGTTAAGAAAGTTCGTATTGGTTCTACCGTGTATGTTTATTGGTTCGGCTCGGTTCTGATGGTGACGTTCATATGACTACGGCCCTGAGACGTGTACAGCATTCGGCACCGACGTTGAGGCAACCCACGCGCCGACCTCGCTGGTCCCGTCGTCCCCCGTGATCGTATCCTCCCGACACCCCCTGGGGTCCCTCGGCGCATATCTAGTTGTCTCGTTGAATTGTCGGGGTGACTGCTGTCTCTCTCTCGCGCCACCGTTGCCCTTGTTTTTTGGCCGGCGGGGCGGCTTGGCGTGTTGGGCTCGATTGCTGAAGTTCGAAAGGTTCCCCCATGTCGTCGTATTCTGTTGCATTGTTTTCTTGCAAGTGTCCACCGGACCCTGTTCTTATGATGGTGCGTCTATCGTGACCACGGGCCCGGGTCCTACACGCGTAGGCGCACGTTGTCCCCGCCGCACCCCCATTCCTTGCATAACCTACCATACAACCACGGATCCGCAGCCCTGAGATAGTGTTGACGCCGCCCCCGGTCGACCGCATTCAATGGTCAACACCGACCCCCCCTCGCCGACTGCGCTTGGCTTTCCGTCCCAAAACCAGGCGAGAAAACGAAGATGAACCAAGCTTCAAGCCCAGCTACAACGGACCAAGAGCATCGTGTTCCGCTGGGGGGCATCCCGCGGACGCTGTCGGAGGTGCGACGGCTGCAGTTTCGACAAGGCCCTCGGCACGACCACGGTGCCCGCGAGAGGCAACCCAGGGTCCCGGCCGCCTCTCGGGATGCAGCCGAGGAGGAGAGGGCGTCGGTCCGGCAGATGTGCTCCGATCTGAGGAGAGACATGTCGGCCTGAGTCGGCGGTGGTAGCGAGGCTACTCCTTCCCCTTCGACCTCGTGCGCCAGAGGCAGCGGCGGGGAAGGAGGTGGCAGCGGCGGACTTGCTGGTGCTGCTCACGGCAGGGACGAACGGCGTTAGCGGCAAGCGGCGGTAGGGCTCATCGTCCACCTGGAGCGAGCGAGGGGAAGCGGCGACCGAGCCTTCGCGACGAGCGAGCCGCTGCTGATACACGACTACGAGCGCGTGGTAGTTTCGCCCATCGGTGGCAGCGGCGGGAGTGGCGCTTTCGGCAGAGGCGTCCTGCACGTCGTCGTTCGCGGGGGCGGCTGTTATTTCGCGAGTCCGTCGGCGGACAGCTCCGTCTCCAGGGACTGGGCGAGGCGCGCGAGAGAGCTCAAGAAGGTCGTGCTCGCGGAGGAGAGGGGAGGCGCCGCCGCCGCCGCCGCAGGCACGCGCATCCCCGGCGGGCAGAACTGGCAGAAGGTGGAGGCTTCCGCTGCGTTCTTGCTAGGGAGGGTGTCGGTGCTCTCGGCGCGGGAGTTCGACTCGCGGCGAGGGTACTGCGGCCGGTATCGCGACGTGTACGCCCATCAGCAGCCGGTGCCCACGACCCGGGCATCCCCCAACTTGCGGACGGAAAAGCAGGAAGGCAGAGACTGCTTGTTGTTCTCCGTGCTCTGTTTTAGGTCTGGAGTATACCGCTGCTAGGAACGTTCTTACTTCTTGTGGTTTTGATGCTTGTGTATAGGTGTTGTGTTTGTTTTGGCGTACATGTTCATATGGTCGCCTGCGGGGCGTAGATGTGCCTGGAGGAGACGGACGATCTAAGAGAGGCATTTCGGCAGTGCTACCAGTAACTAATTCGGCACGATCTTTGAAGGGTATTTCCTTGTGTCTATTGAGTCTACCACCGCTGCAGGGATGTGTTTGGCGAAGGCTTCAGGGGCTCTCTTTTTTTTGTTTCTTCCATTCTGATGGTGTCATCTTACGCGTGCTGTACCTGCCTGTGGTGCCCTTCTTGAAAATGTATTGGAAGGACCGAGCTCAAATTGTATCTGTGTCATGAGGCTAACCAACCTGTTGCGATTTACTTGCTGCGCAAGGGACTCGGGAAGGAGACACACTGCAGAAGCCCTACTGTAAGTATCAGCACTTACTATTTTCTTCAGGGGTACCTCAGGCAGGCCAAGAATATTCGTGGGATCACACAGCATTCACCACTCTTGGCACAGAGCGGTCAATTACCACCCGCGCCATGGCGGTGTAGCCCAGGTGTAGTGTGGCGACAGCACACACACCCTGCAGAGGAAACACGGACATTGTGTGCCAATTCCATCACAAGCTTGGCCAGTGAGTACCGTCCGATCCACTTAATCTTCGAGCCGCTCGCATTGAATATATACATGCAATGGTGGGGCCCCCCTGATATCTTTGTTAAATGACCATTCTTGTTTACTTGAATGTTTCATGCCACGAGCTCAGATTGCATTTCCTTGTCACACTGTCGACCAAGGGCCGAAGCAAAGAAAATCACCATAACGTTCTGGCAGTGTAATAACCAGGTTTACTTCTTCTACAACCAATGCGCACAAGTTAACAGCAAGCCAATACCACGTGACCCCTGCGCTTCGGCACGAAATACGGCATCAACTGGGCAGGCAGAAGGAGCCCGCAGACATGTTCCCCCACAATCCTTGAGATCGAATCAAGAACAGACGCAAGCTGGAGCCACAATGCTCCTCTCGCCGCAGCCCCTTTCAACGAGAAGCGGGGGTGGGTGGGGGGGGTGTACTCATAGTCGTGCATGCCGTAGTCGTTACACCATTGACCTCGAATCCCTACAAAGCCGGGACGGAGCACGCCGGGTTCTCACCGGACCAGGCTCTCACATCACCAAGCGCGAAGCGCCGTGAGGGATTCGGCGAGTCGCATGAAGGGTGCGCTGAATCCTGCTAAGGGTGTTCGGCATCTTGTGCTTACTTCCTTGCGTACGGATGACAGCTGCGTATGACTTAATTTACTTTCTGGTGCTTTCACTTCCAGAGACAGTTAGTTGTAAG